GTGGTGCTGGCGGGGCGGCTGCAGGTGGGGTGTGTCGATGGCAGGCTGCCCCCCGGGTCGGAGCCAGCGCAGCTGGTGCTTTGGGAGCTGCGGGGCCCACTTTACACAGCAGGGCAGCAGTGCTGGCGGGGCGGCTCGGGCAGGGGCGCTGCATGTAAGCATAATTACAATATAAAATGTTATTGTTACAAATGTTTTTATTATGCATTTATCATATTATAGTATATTCTGTATTATTGTTGCAATGAATAAAAGGTTTCTTTTATTTACGATATTTTTTCTTCAATTTATTTGTGTCCTCCTTTTCATTGTAAAAAAGTGGGTCACCTTATATATGTACAGTATTTTTAAAATTGTCATGAGGTTGGGATGATTGAGAAACTAATAAATGTCTATGGAGATTCTCAATCATACTGGCCACAGTTATCCTAAAAGTGCTTTTTAAAAAGGCAATTGGACTTCTTTCGTTTTTCCTGGAAGACGTTTTGATTCTCGTCCAAGAGGGAACAATAAAAGAAAGACCAGTTGCCTTTTTAAGAAGCACGTTTGGGAGAAACTAATAAATGGAGGGGAAAGTGTTTGCAAACCTAAGGTACATATAATTACAACATATGTCTGATGTAACTGAAAAGCACTGTGGCATATAATTTTACCTTTCAGGAGAAAGCAGATACTTAGATATGATACAGATAGGACTGAGCTGGTATGTGAATGGGAAATGATACGTCCCGGCTCTAACTTTAATGGAGAAATGATGACAGAAGGCAGATGAGGAACCCTTCCTTTCCTTGGAAACTTTTCCATGTGCAGATGGAACCATGACAGCAACCGTGGAGGAATCCGATGTGGGTGGAGAAGATACTTTGAGAGCTCTTGATACAGAAACCTGGCTGGAGTGCAGAAGGCAGGGAGGGACAGGTGATCAAATCAGGTCATCTGTGTAGGTAGTGTGAGCAGTACAGTGATACTTAAAAGCATGAACTATCTATTTCTAGTATCTGGCTGCTTCATCTCTTGACTTCTGGTTATGCTTTCCTTCTTTCTTACCTACACAAAATCAACACGCTAGCTTATTTTGGATCAGCTTGTTTTCTTTTGCAGAGTAAACCTTTTCCAAAGTTGGGCCCTGTCTATATGCTGATTTTTTTTTTCTTCTCAGAAGCTGCCAGTCAGAGTAACAATATTTGAGCTATTGATTGGCAGGGAGATGATACATGCCGCAGAGGTTGGAAAGCATGGTGACTACAGAGGTGCTTGTTTTACAGTTGTAATAGTTTTTTAAAAAAGGAAAATAGAGAAACTCGACATGTTTTCGATGTCTGTTTCCAGCAAAGGAGAATTTGGAAGTGTTGCTGAAGTTCTAAGAAAAAAAAACATAGCCCTTGTTAGCCACTGCCTCATACAGCAAATGCCCAAAGTTATGACAGTGATGAAAAAGTAAACTTTGTGACTAATCCTCGCATTTTATAATCTTCACAGGTCGGTAAAGCAAAGGAAAGCTGATCTTAAGGAAAGCCTCAGTCTCCGTTAACTTTATTTAACAACTGAATTGCAGATGCCAATTCTGGCTGTCAAACAAGAACTACCTGACTTTAGTGCCCAGGGATGTACCGTTTGCTTTGCTTTAGAAAATGAGAAACACTACAGGTGCAATGTTGCAAGTGAAGATGGCCAAAGACTCTGTGTAGTTTGGGATCCCGTGCCTGTTGCAGGCTTATCTGGAATGGTAGGCTCTGGCAATATTAACCCTTATCACACACCCCTCCCCAAGAATGGATTACTGCAGACTACCTTTCGTGGGGCTGCCACTGAAAATCAAACTGCGAGGTGTATTTCCCTTAGGGAGGTGCAGCAAAATCCAGTGTGTGTGTGTGTGTGTGTGTGTGTGTGACATTATTACAATAAACCCACGGTTCCCCAAGTTTCATTTAATTGTTTTCATTGTTCATTTGTGTTCTGTTTTGATTTTTAGGGGATGTGTGTGCCTTAAGATTGTACTAAGCCCCTGACTTAAAACCTGCAAATAGCTTAGAAGCCTCTATAGCCCCATTAAAGTCCTCGACTTATAACCACTTATAACCAGTCCTGACTTATAACGGTCATTTAGTGACCGTTCAAAGTTACAATAGCACTGAAAAAAGTGACTCATGACTGTTTTTCACACTTAGCATCATTGCAGCATCCCTATGGCCATGTGATCAAAACTCAGACACTTGGCAACACTGGGTTCATATTTATGACGGTTGCAATATCCCAGAGACATCTGACCATCTTTTGTAATCTTTGCTTCTGAGAAGCAAAGTCAATAGGGAAGTTTCACTTGACAACCGTGGTACTAATTTAACAACTGCAGTGATTCACTTAACAACCATGGCAGGAAAGGTCACAAAATGGGGCAAAACTCACATAACAATTGTTGTGCTTAGCAACAGAAATTTGGGACTGAATTGTAGTCGTAAGTTGAGGACTAGCTGTATACCAATGTTATGTGTACTGTATTGATTTCCAATAGGTTTCTTGGTCCAATCCAAAGTGATGGCCGTAGCCATTAAAGCTCTTTGTGGGTTGATTTCATTTTTCTGATGGAACCAGCCCATCTGGTAGACTTGACCAAATAGAGGGGCTCAGAATATCCCATGCATTAGGTCAGACATGTCAAACTCGTGACGTCACGTGGCGTATCAGAACTGTTTTGCCATTGCCGGCAATGGGGTGGGCGTGGCTTCCACATGATGCATCCAGCCCGCGGGCCAGCAGTTTAACACCCCTGCTTTAGGTGGAGAAGTGTGGGGACTAAGGCAGCATTTGTTGAATAGCCTACCCTCCCCAGAAATTTGAATGCCATTACTCTGGTGTCTTTTAGGAATGCTTTTCAATGGAAAATTTCCACTGAGCATTTGAAACTGCATGGCTTTTATTAATTATTGGGATGGGCACCATGTTTTTTTACAGTTCAAAATATTTTCATTCATTCAATTTATTCATTATATTTATATAGTCACCTGTTTCTCTCAATCAAGTGACTCTGGCTTTGCTGTTTTATTCTGATCTTATTTTGTTGTGTTATTATAAACCGCAGGGAGTCAATACTAATTTAATATACGTAATAATCTAAAACACATATTCCATGTTTGATTCATATGTCTGCTTCCTTCTGCAAATATCACCGGCTGGTATTGGTATTGCTATTTATACAGATGTTGTTGTTCCTAGAAATCACGGATAGTTCGGGTATTATCAGCCCTTTGTATAAATGCAGTTAAGAGGTTTTTTTTTTGTCCCAATATGCTTTTTATATTTACTTAGATTGCATTGTATTTGCATTATGGCTGGCCAAACATTTAAAGAGATCTTTCTTGCGAGGCTGTTCATAATAGCTTTTATTTTTAAATTGTCTTTATTTTAAAAATACTAAAACATAAACAAAAAAGCATAATATGTTTGTGTGTGTGTGTGTGTGTGTGTGTGTGTGTGCGTGTGTATGTGTGCAGTTTTTATACATGCAAATGTTTAAAGTTTTATAGAAGTTTCAGGAAAACATTATACATATTATAATCATTCATGCAGGCCTTCAATCTATTTAGTAACGGGGGGCATAATTCCCCCCCCAAAGGTTGAAAGAATATCTTACAATAAAAATGATGTGAGGAGCTATTACCATTGTCCATCAGTTTCCATATATAAATTTATACCTCCAAATGCTTGTCTGAAAATTAAACCCTCTCTCAAATTCAAATTAATATGTGTAATTATTTCTTCCCAGAAAACCTTAAAACATGTGATTTAATGAAGCATTATTGCACATACAGCAACACAATGATTTACTTCTTTTTATGCAGTGCAACAGGTCCAATAAATCTAAAATATTTTGTAGAATAAATTATAATCTGAGATCTATTTTTTTTATAGTAGTTAAAACAGTTCAGCCTTTTTAGATAAAATGGGTTTCCAATCCCTTGTGTTCTATTCAGCCTTTAATCTTTGCATATCAAATTGATGTATTGATCACAAGTTATCCATAAAAAACTAATTCTGGGCTTTTTTCTTTTGCAAGATATAATTGTATTGATTATTATTCAGAAATGCCATAGGTCCAAAACAAGTTGTCAGTAAATGTTGTAATTGTAAATATTGCCAGTTGGTGGCAACAGACAAATGATATTTATCTAACACAGAAAATGAAGACAATTCATGCTTACCATCTGATATTTGAACTAACATAAAAAAATCCCCAGCATTCATACAAACATTCCATATAACAGTTTTTCTGTTAGTTTTTAATCAGTTTTAAAATCATAGCATAAAATTGGTGTGTGTGTGGGGGGGGGGATAGATCAAGATGTAATTTTCCAGAAATAATATACTGCGATTTTTAATCAACATAATATTGACAGAAGATAAATATGTATTTTGAACCTGAACAGACCAATTAACTAAAGGTGCTATGTATGAATATTCCAAAAAGAACCAGGAAGGAGACTTTAGATTAAATGAAGCTACCCAAAATTTAATCCAACTCGGATAGAATGTGTAATGGTATAATTCAAGATCTGGGAAATAAAACTCTCCATCTTTATCTGAAAACTACATTTTTCAAATATTTTTCAGTGTTTTCCAAATAAGTGAATGGGAATTCTGCACAAAATAGAAAATATCCTGGAAGTTAGATTCATTTTGAGAGTGTTTATCCCATCCCCAAATTTTAAAGATAGCTATTTATAACATCCAAGGAAATTTATTTATATAATGTAGTATATTGTTCATATTTAATGTATTTATTTGAGAAACATCACATGGAATAAGAATATATATCCATAAATTCAGTATATACTATATATGAATATGAGGATTAGTGTATTAATAAATCTTTGACTATTGAAATCAATTCCAACTTAGCCCAATTAACAGAATATCTTGCAAGTAATCGAAACACACTAATCTAGTGCATTAGAGACGGAATCTGTGAATTCACTACATTCACAAATAAACAATAGAATATCTTTAACATACAAAGCAGGTTTTTATTTTGTTTAATAACGCAAGCTAAGAGTTCTAAACAAATAGCAAAAATCAAAGAAGAAAGTAAACATTCTTGACATTATATAATAAAAAATTACATGAAGTTCTCACTTTAAATTTGGGATTGAATACAGAATCTGGATCCATTTTATAAATTCTTCTAAAATTCAAATTAAGGTAACACACATTTACCATCAATATATTTTATCAAAATCTTTTTCCATTTCAATTTACCAATCAACAAAAACTTTATCATGGTTACAGACCAGCAAAAGTGGTGCGATAGAAATAAGTAATTTTTTAAAAAAGCTAAAAAAGATATTAAGACAAAAATTGTAGAATTATAATTGCAGCTTTGAGCTTTCTGTCTTGGTTGAGATCAATTAAATCCACTGTCAGCCAAATATTATTTGAATCATATTTAGTTTTGACAAACCAGCTGGATCATTCTTGTCTGAAGAAGGAAACACTTGAAAGCTATTGACTCTGATAGCAGTTAAAATTTTGAATATTTACAATAATCAAGGAAATAGGACAATAATTCAGGACATGATTTTTAGTAGATTCTAGAAAAACTGTGATACGTGCTTCATAAATGAAGATAAAATACTATTCTCAAAAATATTATTATATAGCTAACAGAGCAGAGGAGCAAGTTTTATACCATTCCACAGGAAAGCCATCCAATTACCATTAGTTGTATTCAAAATTGTGTTTTAAATCTTCTCTGTAGTCAAAGGAATGACTAGTAATTATTCTTCTAAGGAATCTAATTGGGGAAGATCAATTTTGTCTAAAATTGCCTCTAAATTTACCTCAGCTAAATTCTTACATAAGACCAAGTAGAATTTAAAACATCGAAATTGTTGATCATTTTTAATATAGAGACCAACCTGTACTGTTTGAGCTCATTTTTGACTTGTAGTCTTTGAATTATGACTGGATGCTTAACCACCATTTGAAGTTACAATGGACTTTTAAAAAGCTACTTATGGCTCATCTTCTCATTTACAACTGATTGCAGCATCCTGCAGTTATGAGTAATTTGTGATGGGTTTTTTTTCAGTCTCCAGCAAAAAAAAAAAAATACCCATTGGTTACGCTGGATTCACTTAACAACTATGTGATTTCTTTAACAACCCTGTGGTTCACTTAATGATCACAATGACTTGCTTTTCAATTGTTGTAAAAATAGTCATAAAGTCAAATTTGGTGACATGGTTCCTTGACCTACAATTGCAAGGCCTTATAACCAAAATTCCTGGTCCATTGTGGCCATAAATTGGGGTCTACCTCTACACAATTGGCCAGCTACTGCTTCCCCTATGTCAAGATTATTTATGAACAAGTTATAAAGCACCTGCATCTCATTTTTCAGTGCGACTGAAACTATGACCACCATTGTTCCTAGTTTAGCTCTCAAATTAGCAAGAAGTAAGCTATGCTCAGTGGAGTAAATATGATGTCAGAAAAACTGAGAAAGCAGGTGTCAAACAATGGGTTTAATTTATCAGAGCATGGAGAGTTTATGAGGGGAAAAGTTCAGAACACTGTAAGATGAATATTATTTTGATTGTTTTCCTTAACAGTGTTTTGGCTTGCAACATTAACATTTTTATTCAATAGCACAATACACCAGGAAAACCATATAAAAGATAGAAACTTTTTCAAAGTAGTTGTTCGGCAAGATATTTCAGTCTTTCCTCTACACAGAAATTGTTCTTATGCTTGACTTGCACAATTTCTTCAGCTTCAGGTATGTTTCATATTTTCATCTATAACACAGAAATATAACCATATCATCCAACAGTTTATTAACCCTTCACTCTCCCACTCTGAACAACAATTGAAATCTTTTTCTTAATAACATTTTTGTTAACAATTCAGGTCCAAATAATTTAATCTGGACACTATTTTCACATGAAGTGACATCCTCAGTTGCTAAATATCGTAAGACCAATGGCCCATAAACAATTTCTCCACGATTAATAAATCATCCAGTGCATTTAGATTTGATATTGTACAGCAAACGTGTGGGGAATTTAGACACTGTCATAGCAGGTTAACCATTTCTAATTGTTATCACTGGGACTGCCATAGTTTCTGCCTTTGTCTCTGCTATGAATTACCTAGTATGCTCAGCAGTGACAAGTTAGACGAAAAAGGAGAATGTGGTTTGTTATGACCAGCAACCAGAAAGTTATAGGTGGCTTTCTATGAAGCAGGCCGTGAAGATAATATTATGTACAAAAACGTGTTATGGGATGTGTGAGAGTCTTTTCTGTAAGAACTGTATCTGCTATTATTATGAACCTCAGGGGTCCACTGAATAAAAATATGCAAAAATAAAGGGAAAATACCGTGACATGAGATTTAAGAGCATCTTAGATTTGTAGGACTTTTCCATACAGTGAAATAAATATTTCTCAGATCTCTTTCTATGTATTCTGCTATTTTACCCTATGTTGCATTAATCCATTGTTGTAATTCTATTCTGCAATGCTTATGAGATTTTTAGATTGTCACTGGATATGACCTATGATATGCTGTACTATGTAATATATGTGAAAGGAGCATGTCTGTATTTTCCAGATTCACTGGATTGAAAATAACAATGATGTTTAGTTTTTTTTGTTTTTTTCTCCCTTTATTAAAATGGCTGCACGTATAACCCTCATTTCATTTCCACTCGTTCAATAATCACTTTATGATGGTGCTAAACAAGGGGTACTTATAAAGTGGGTTCTTATAACTGCAGCCATCACAATGCTCACAATTATGTGATTACAATTTAGGCACTCAGTAACAGGCTATTAAATATAATGTTGCAGCATCTCATGGTTGCCATTTGCCATTTGCAACCATCATACAGAAGCTGGCAGGAGATCACAAATGGCAATCACATGACTTTGGGACAATGACTGCATGGGATTTGCCTAATGACAGTAACTGGGATTGCCAGAACTGCCATTGTAAGTCATTGGGGTCACATGACCTTATGACTACATTGCTTAGCAACACAGTAGCCAGTTCCAATTACTCTTGGTAAGTGAGAACTACCTATAAAGCTATTGCTGATGTTGCTTATCATCATACAGCATCCAAAAGAATAGATACTTCAAAAATAAATGCAATCCACAACCTGCAACTGTTAACAACATAACTTCCAACTGTGGCAGAAAATTAGGGCTAATCACAGAATAGTCCAGGACATTGTAGATGAATTCTTATTTTCAAATTATGCTTTTTTATTGTTAAGCTTATGAATATCAACAGTTATGGTGGCTGTTTAGAGAGGCAGGTTCTGGCCACAGTGAAGCTATACAAATATCCATGGATCCATTGATCTGTTAGGTGATCTAGTCAAGTTTTATCTCAGATCCAAGACAACAGTGGAAGAGAGGTTAAGAATGAATTAGATGCTTACACTTGTTGCAGAATCATCAACTAGCTAAAGTTTTTGCCAGCAGAATTTACCAAAGATAATAATTATGTGACATACAATCCACAATACTGTAAGAACTTACACTTACCACTCAACACCTGTTGTTGTGAGAGGAAGCATCTTTAGCCTGAGGAAAAAATAACATAAAATTAGAAATTACTTTGCTAATGTCTGTGATTATTACTACATTTCTATTCTCCCAGAGATACCAGGTAATTGATACTCTACAAATGACCACAATAAGCCAGATTGTTACACTCTAAAAGCGTTGTCCGAATCACAAATGTATGCATACTGAAACCTGGACTTGCCACTTTGAATTAAGAAAAACCATTCCATTCCATTTGGAAACTAACGTGGTGTAGGAAGTAGAAGAGAAGGTGCAAAGCACTAGCTGCCTGGTTTTTTTTTTGGTTTTTTTTTTGTTCTCTTCATTAACCAGCTAGTAGGCACTTTATCTAGCTTGAAGGGACAACTGAACACAGCAATGAGGACATTCAATCAGTATTAAGCAATTGCTGCCAAAGATTGTAGGCACATGCTATGTAGAAGTGCCTAAAGTGATAATGAAGCATTCACATTTGATTACCAATGGACACCAGAGAATAATATAGTATTATTTATGTGTATGCCTGAAAACACCATAGAAATCTGATCAATACTTCCAGAGAGAATTGTTTCACCAATTAGAAAGCGTTTAAAAAATAAGCATTCCATCTTGGTAGTTATATGATGCTTGGTCTTGTAGAAAAGAATCAATGAGCTATTCATTACAAAAAATTACCACTATTTCAAACCAACTCAATTTTTTTAAATAAAAAAAAAACAACCAAATAATTTTGCCAAAGGAACTCATATTAACAATATGGAAGAGCTAAGATATACTAAGATAGCTAAGTTCACAATGTTTCAAATTCATGATCACATTTTTAATTTTTGCAATTTTTTCTTTGTCCAGGGATAATGTCACATTAGACACTTATGTAGCAAAAAAATGATTTGTATATACTGGCATTTCAGCATCCCGTAAAATAGATTTTCCCAATCTAAGTCCTAGTTTCATGTGTATGGATCCAGTTTTTCATTCGTAACATGAATGGTATGTACGATTCTCATTTTTGCAACATTTCTGCATGTTGCATTGCAGCTCTTCAACCAAAAAAGTTTACCGTATGTATAAATTAAGAACATATGGGAAGAAATATTGTAAGCAATTTTGCCTAAGAATCATACATTACAGGAACAATATATAAAATGTGTATTTCAACGAATGAAAAACAGAGTTGAAGTTGATCTTGGTAAAATGAGAGATAATGGAAACTGAAATTGGTGGATTTCTTTATCCCTGCTCTGAGATCGCTTCAATCAGGCGGTCAGTCCCAGAATATATGCCAAATTATAGGGAAGAAAAGCATGACAAAACTGAACGTCAGGCTAAACATAAGTTACTGTCAAGCTTTTCTATAACATAGACTGAAATATTATCCCCCTGTCTTGCTTTCAAAATTGTTATCATTCCAAGCTTTAAGGGTGATAATCTAATTTATTCAAAAATTAAAACACCAAATATCAAAGGAAAATATAGCTCTAGATAAATCAAGTGAAAAATAACATACCGTATTACAAGCATTCCTATTGTCCTGAAATTGTGAACCAGTCTAAAAATCAACGGAAAAGAGGAAAATAATATTATAATAAATTTTGCAACTTAACCAACTTTCAAAAATGTAATATTCAGAAACTGTATGGAATCAGGTTTGTTAATGATTTGTTACAGCAAAGCATAAAGCAAATTTAGAAAAATATAAATTTAAAATAGACCTTTATTTTATTAAGAATAAAGCTGGCCAAGCTTTACTTGGCAATAATTACTAGATTAGTGATATCCAGCTTTCTGTCGCTTGCTAATATCAGAAACAGCAAAAATCGATTTTAAGTTGCTCCTGAAGAGTGTCATGTTGTTTTATTACTATATAAATATTTCTGGAATCAAATTTAAACTAATGAATAAAAGTACGTACCGGACCACAAGATCTGCTTCCATCTGCTTTCCCCTGATTTTAAAAACAACAAATAAACATGTATTATTTCTAGGCACCACATAATTGTTAAAAAAATATTTATTACATTTATATAGCCACCCATCTCACTACTGTGACTCCAGATGAATTACATGCAGTTTACAGTAAACTACAGTAAATGAAGATTTTTTTTGCAAGCACTATTGTCAAGCCAGATATCCCTGTGATATTTATTTTCTAAGTAAAGAATTGTGCACTTGTTTCTGCTAAATTGTATTTACCCTTTTCAGCCCATTCCTCTACCCCAGGGGTAGATCAGCTGGCTCAGGAATTCTGGGAGTTGAAGTCCACGAATTATAAAAGAGCCAAGATTGCCTACCCCTGCTCTACCCGATCAAGATTATTTTGGATTTAATACAGCGGAGGATCTTTCACATCAGTTGTGTTGAATTAAAATTCAGAAACACTAACTGTTTCTTCATTGTAAAAATGTTATTTCCAAAGATTCCTGGAAATGTAATAGTTGTTGTGATTAAAATATACTGTGTGAACAAGTCTTAAGAAAGAGACAAAATTAAGTACCACAACAAAAATTAAAACCATATTTACCTTTGATTGGCTGTCGCTGCTCTGAGATGACCCTTGTGGAGTCTGAAATAGACAAACAGATAGATAATAGTGGAAAATTCACTTCAGGCAGGATGTACAGTATAAACTCAGTTAGGGATGATTGATTGGGGTCTCAGATTTTAGAAACTAGCAAGTGATTTTATTAGCTATACTTTAAAAGGAATCAGCAAAAATAGAAAATGGAAGTGTGTGAAAACATACATAAAATGTTTTTTTCTGTGGCTTTTGAGTAGGAAAATGACATAAAGAGTAACTGGATTGTAAAAGCGGCTGGAAATTTTTATCTGGAGTAAGTAATCTTTGCAGATAAAAAATATTGAATCAAACTGGTATTATTTGACAGCATTTCATTATACTAAGTAATTTTAAAATTCATGATGACTTTATGGAGAAAAAAAATATTTCAGGAAAAATGCTTACTTTGACACATGTTCCAGTATTTGATTGGAATACTTTCCCCTAATTTCCAAAAAGAGGGGAAAAAGTTATTAAAAATAGTATTTCCATATATATTGTAACAGAAGAAAATAATCTGAAGCCTTTTGTTTGGGAAAAATAGCTAGTGATTGTATTAATTTTATTATCCTTCCCTGATTTAATTGAAATCTGGCATGTTACCCTTTATCATACAGTTCAGTGCAATAAGTAATAGTGGAATGCTACAAGAAATAGCATCCACAAGACTAAAGACCCCTAATTTGTTCCCACATACCCCAAATGTGAGCATTTTTTGGCCCAAAGTGTAACAAAGTGGTCCAGCATAGGCCACATATGTCTGTGGATTACATTATGTGCACTTCTGATTTAGCTTTTCAATTCTTATTTGGAGTGAGGAACATCTGTAGACTTTCAGATGTTTCTAAATTATAATTCCCAGCATCCTATAGAGCCACAGGTTCTTCAGATATTTTTCCTTTCTTCAGATATTTTTAGTATTGAATTAGTCAGATCAGTCCTTGTTTCTTCTGTTACTACATTTATTCTAATCATTTACAGCAGTGTTTCTCAATTTTAACATCTTTATCATGTATGGACTTTACCTCCCAGAATTCTGAAGTCCATATACAGTATCTTAAAAATGTTCAGGTTGGGAAGCACTTGATCTACAGTAAAGTTTTCATTTTGCTAAATCATTCTCCGGTTCTTTCTAGATGTTTGCATTTTCTGCAAGCAATGTCCTTTTACCAATGCTTATTTATATTTTTAATTTCATCTTGGCACTTCACCTTTTATAAAGCTGACAAGAGCCCTGCATGAGTTGGGAAGAGTGCCTCCTGAATATTAAGTATTGAAGACGGAAAAAAAAGAGCCACATCTGTAATTTTATTCACTTTGCCTCTGGTTTGCCTGCAGATGATGTGCCATTTCTGTGGTTTGATAAGATAAAAGTTCTATATCTCAATTTTAAAAAAAAAAAGCAAATGTCTGCTCTTTTGTTTTTTAAAAGTCCCACAACTTTTGAGAAGATATTTTGACTACTACTCCCCCATCAGGCCTATAGTCAAGGATATGGAAGTCCAAAATATTTGGAGACCAATATGTAACCGCTTCCTGAACATGATGTTGGGTACATTTCTTAGTAAACTAAAAACAAGAATTTATTGATAGTCTAATGCAGTGGTTCTCAACCTTTTTAATGCCGCGACCCCCCAACCGGTCATAAGTCGAGGACTACTCAACCGGACGTAAGTCGAGGACTACTCAACCATTTGCAGAATGGGACTTTTGGCGGGCTCAGCAGGGCAGAAACAGCCTGGACAATTCCTATTGGCTTTTGAAAGCCAATAGAATTAGACTCTATTCAAGAGAGTCTATTCTATTGGCTTTCAAAAGCCAATAGAATAAAAGGGAGTAGCACAGCTAAGGAAAAGGGGAAAAAATGGCGGACTGCGTTGTTTGGCGACCCCCATGAAATGGTCGTTTGACCCCAAATGGGGTCCCGACCCACAGGTTGAGAACCATTGGTCTAATGTTAGAATATATTTTTTTAGAAAAAAGTTTCATACCTCACCACAGTTTATATTCAGAGTTAGAAATGACTGAAAAGAAAAGTAAAAAGAATTATCATTTTACATAATAGAAATCATATTACATATTATTGCAATACAAAATGTTATCAATCTAGGAGAGGATGCCCAAGTATTCTGTAAAGATGGGGGTTTTACATCCTATATTTTCCTTATGAACCCTGAAGCATTTTATACTACAACGATTTTATGTTACACCATTAGGGAGAGTGTTTGGTTTTGTCTTAATCTAGCATACTATTCCATAAGTCTTTCTATGTTTCTGAAATGAGGCTGGAAGTAATCATTCAGAAGAACAAACTGCTATAGTTACTTAATACACAAATAAGAATATTCTTCATTTAAAAAAAAAAGTATTTCTGGTATTCAATTAATCTCCCTCTATTAAATTAGATAAAGGCAAAGAGTCATCGGTGTTTAATAGATACCTTTCTCCTATTTTTGCCTGTCATATTTCTTTTTTCAAGATCTTGGAAACCAACAGTTGTATTGGATACATAGTCTTCTTCAGAATCAGCAATAAGGGCGTTGAGATCAATATCTTCACCACTGTCACTGAAGGTGTCAGAATCAGCCGAGATCTCAGAAACCACGGATGTTATGGGCTCATTGGATAGCATTGAGCGATTGGTTGCCATAAACACATTAGTGTCTACCTCTCTGGGAGAAAGAGTTTTGCTATGAACGCCAACCCAGTAGTTATTGTAATCCTGAACAAAGGTTCCCCTGAGGGAGAGGAAAATTGAGATATTATTCACGACAGGGAAGTTTTTCTCTAATAAGATATGTCATGTCATAAACACACAATCTTTTGCATTAACACTTTTCAGCTCATAATCTGGATTAATTTGATCTTTAACAAAGAAAAACCAAAGAGTACCATAGTTATTTTTAGCTGGGAGACAACTATTACAGTCAAGTCATAATTTTCTTTTAGGCCTAGAAGCGTGAAACTTTCTGGGTTTTTTTTTAATCTTATCCAATGTATTTAATCCATTACTGATTTCCCCCTGCCTTCTCTGCCAAAATTCCCTATTAAGAGAAAAATATTTCTCACAGGTGTGTTCTTGCTCAATTCTATGCTTTTGTCCTGAACAAAAACACAGATTTTATTTGATTTTTCAAAAAAGAACTCCCTTAATAAGCAGGAAAGTCAGTACTTACATAATCCTTATTTTTCTAGTGCCCTGAGGAGCAACCCAAATTGTTGTAATTCTGTGCTTTACAAAGGGGTTGATGTGACTTACTGCAGAATTCTGAAAACAGAAAAGAGATGATATTAAGAATTGTGGAAACAATTATACAGGCATTGCTCATTAACAAAAAGGAACACTGCATAGATAAAAGCTGCATGCTGTACAATTAGTGATATATGTCCAATCCTTTTTCTTAGTTCTTCAACTGAGAGCAGCAAAATAATATAGACCTATGTAATAATATGTCCAAACCAAGATACCTGGCTTATCATTTCTAAACAAGCCAGGAATCAAAAGATAAGAACAAATTCTGGGTTCAAATTCTGCTTGTCAAGAAAGTAAGAAATTGTGATGGCCCCATCGGAAGCCGGTTTGGAGCAGGAAGATGAGCCACAACCAGGGCCATCAGACAGGGGTGGCATGAATCCCCAGGAGCATCCCGAGAGCCTCGGGGCTGAGGAAGATGCAGTCCTGTATCTGACTGGCATGGGAGGAGGGGGAACAGTCGATTAGATGGTCAGCTGCCTGCCCTAGCAAAAGCAGGGGAGGTTCAGCTGCCTCCAATAAGGAACAGCTGCCACACCCACCCAATCCATGGATGCAAAGAGCAGAGTAACAGAATAACAGAGTTGGAAGGAATCTTGGAGATCTTCTAGTCCAACTCACTGCTCAGGCAGGAAACCCTATACCATTTCTAAAAAGCAGTTGTCCAATCTCTTCTTAAAGACTTCCAGTGTTGGAGCATCCACAACTTCTGGAGGCAAGACGTTCCATTGGTTAAATTGTTCCCACTGTCATAAAATTTCTCCTTAGTTCAAGGTTGCTTCTCTCCTTGATGAGTTTCCATCCATCGCTTCTTGTCCTGCCTTCAGGTGCTTTGGAGAATAGCTTGATTCCCTCTTCTTTGTGGCAGCCCCTGAGATATTGGTACACTGCTATCATGCCCCCCCCCCTGTTGCAATTCCTGCAACTGTTCTTTATACGTTTTAGCTTATCACCTTTGTTGCTCAGGGAAGCACAGAGGAGATCAGCAAAGCTGCTCATGAAGAAGCAGCCTCGCCCCTCCTAACAAGAAACACTGGGCTTGAGGTGATTTAGCCAGGCATGGGGAAAGGTACATTTGTCAGAAACAACCATTTACTTCTGCAATGCACTCTCTTTGACTTCATGAACTTGGACCTTGCTTTGTAGATATTTGACCTTCCTTTGCCTTTGTGGACTTCAAACCTTATTCTTGATTTTAGATTTCAGACTTTGTCTCTTGCCTTTTGGACTTTATTATTGTCTGGTGGATTTTGGATCCTTCTCTGTGGAATTGGACTTTGCTCTGGCCTTGTGGAATTGTGGGTCTTGCTTTTGTGGATATCGGATCTTGTCCTTGGGACAGTGCTCTCACAGATTGTGGGAGGCTGCCCTGAGTCTGTCCCCAGGGAAATTGGGGTTGAATTTTACCAGCATAACTGCAGAACAGTTTGGGAGCTGCAAGGTTGCTTTGGGAAGCATCTTGATTTACGTATGGTTGTGCAATAAACATAATATACCCATGTTTCCCCAAAAATAAGACCAGGTCTTATATTAATTTTTGCTCCAAAAGATGCATTAGGGCTTATTTTTCAGTTAGGTCTTATTTTCGAGAAATACGGTACTAAATGTGTCTATCTGGTTGACGATCTTAATGGGGCTTATTTTGGGGGTGGGGCTTATATTATGAACATCCTGAAAAATCATGCTAGGGCTTATTTTCCAATTGGGTCTTATTTTCGGGGAAATACGGTACTAGTCACTTGGGTCAGAACAGAAGTTAGGGATCCCAGTTTAGTTACCACACTGAACAAACCAGGCCCCATTTGCTGAGTCACTCTTGCAAGCAAAAGCAATTGGGAGCAACTTGCTGATCATTATTGATGATTATTCCCTATTATTGATAGGGAATGAAATTAAGACTGGTTCTTAACATGCAGTGCTACATGCCCATCTTTTAAAAATAAATAACTTGTCACATACAAAAAATAAATGAATATTTAAGGTAAAGGTAAAGTCAAATAATAAGAGGAGTAGGGATTTCAGGAATATTCTTTTCTGTAGGGTATTGTTAACAGAATCTTGAAAATCTTGTCAGTTTTTCTTTACTTCTTTATATACCAAACAAAATCAAGGTGTAATTCTTTTGAGTTTTTTTTTCTCATGCTTTCTTCTTTTTAGGGATTGAACAATATATTCGGAAACTCTTAACAGTTCACTCATCTTTTCCTCATTCCCAGGGCCATGTCTACATTCCATCACATGGAGGGACTTTGTTAAACAAATTTTCAAAGAACAACATAGCATAAATACATTATCTGAACACAAAGACACATACCGTCATATTGGCACATGGTTGACCTCGGGTGTTTGGATCTACAATATAAAATGTGCCAACAGGAAAATTTCCATCAAGTTCTCGGGCCTGTATCATAAATGCTTTAAATCCAGATGGGGATGTTGCTTCTAATACCACTAGGGGAAAACCAATGGATAAATAATTCATATCATTAGAGAGATGTTTTTGGGGGGAGGGGGTTCATTAGACTTAAAATATGCATCAGTGCTTTTCTTTTTCCTTTTACTTCAGTTTGAAGGTTCAATGGTAATCATGCAGTGTACTCTTTGCTGGAATAAATTATCCATAGGGCTTGACAGTGCATCAAGATTAGTTTTAAATGCTTGTATTGAGATATAAAAAGGTTAAGAGTTGGTTGAACATTTTCAAGACAATTATTGCTAAGATGAGATAAGCTACTACTACTTCTGCTCAGCTATTAGTGTCATCTAATTTTTCTTAGCATCGTTACCTAGTTCCAAAAGAGTGTGATAAATATTTTTTTTAAAAAATCAAGAAAACTAATTATATAACTTGCAACTTCCATCAATGTACAAATAAAGCACCTTTTAATAACTTTAGCTAAATTGCATTTAATTAATATTTTTGCATTTGCTGAGGACAAATAAGGAGACATGAAATCCAGTCTCCAATCCAAAATATTCTGTACTGATTTCTGGGAAAGCACAGCAGTCTGAAAACAAAGCCCTGAATGTATGATGAGCAATCAGTTATCATTTTGGCATACGTTGCTGCCATAATTCCTTCCTTCCTTCCTTCCTTCCTTCCTTCCTTCCTTCCTTCCTTCCTTCCTTCCTCCTTCCCTCCCTCCCTCCCTCCCTCCCTTTCTTTCCTTCATCTTTTCTTTCTTTTTCTTTCTTTCCTTCCTTCCTTTCTTTCTCTTTCTTCTTTCTTTCTTTTCTTTTCTTTCTTTCTTTCTTTCTAGCAAACAAATTAATTTAATTGAAAGTTTGCACAGTCCTGAAGTAGTGTTACACTCTGTACTTCATTCTTTTATACAAATTCCAGCAAATTCTGCTGCTGGGGTCTGAAACTAATCTGATTGGACTGGCTGTCATAAAAATATATCCAGCTAATTTCAGCTAAAAAAACCTAATCTCTCACAACTTGAAAACATTAATTTTTAAAAAAATTTTAATGGAATATGTCATGGTTCCGATAGATGAAACCCATCAAAAGAACTTTGAGGCAAAAATCTTCCTTAAAGAACATTTTATTTGGGAAACAAAGTATCGGCACTACATAGTTGAACCCAAAAACTAAATTCCCTTCCCCCGGATACAAAGTAACACAGTGCAATTCCCACCCCCAATAAACTGTCATAAAGCACATTCCCCAATGAGCTTAAAGCACGGGCTTTCTCCTCAGCTCCTCAGCCTGCCAAAATGTTATCAGCTTGTCCTTGGGTTCCCACAGTAGCATTATTATTATGGCTAGCTGAGCTTTCATCCCAACCCTCCCCCCTGCTGCACCTGATTTCTAAAAGTAAGAAAAAGCAAGTTAAAGCAGTTGTCAGAGCGGGAACATCCAATGTTAGCAGCAATGACAGAACAAACTGTATGGCAAATTTAAACTGCCACTGAAAAAGCTATTGACTGATAACAATGTTCCGGGTTCTAATGGATCTGAGCATAGCTTACTCAATTTCTGAGCTAGATTGTACCCTTGCCCACTTTGTTTTACCTTGTATTTCATTTCCCGGGTCATATCGATCGAAAGAGACGGAGATGACATAAGGTGGGCTTGAGGTCTGTGGGGAACTTCCATGATCTGGTAACATGGAGTCACAAGCTATCGAAATATCATTGTATGGATATCCAAAGATCTGGGACACAAATACTGTACAAAAAAAGATCCCAAAGAAGGAATATTTCTCCATCTGAAGAAAGAGAGAGAAAGGTGAGTGAGTAAGAAATATTTATAGATAATAATAATAATAATAATAATAATAATAATAATAATAAAAAAGTTGAAAGGGATCTTGGAGGTCATCTAGTCCAACTCCTTGCTCAGGCAGGAAACCCTATACCATTTCAGACAAATGGGCTGTTTGTTTTGCTAAGGGTGAGAAAATAATTATTACTAAAAATGCATAACTTTTTCATGAGCATGATCACTTATACCAATGTATTTTTAAAATATATCTTGTTTGCCAATTTATTATGGTAAGAAGCTCAATAGTATTTGGAAGGAAAGCAGTAAGAACAGAAGCACAAGTCAGTGACTGGCCTCATACATTAAAATAATCTGGCTTGACATTGATTTATCATAAAATGTGAATCTACCCATTGTAAACTGTGAACTATGATTTATGGAAGGCGTAGGAGATACTGTTAAATCTGGTGGAGAACTGCACCTTTCTTTTATTCGATTTATCATCCTCCAAAGAGATAAAGTAGAAATATCACATTTCAGTCCTTTTCCTCCAATTGTTCACTTTTGAATTGGTTAAATCTTCTCCGGGGGAGAAGAATAGGGCTGATGTATCTGGGCTGTAAAAAGGTAGGCAACTACTGTATTAAATGTTAGCAAAGTAATCTCCTGGATTTTTCCAGCTCAGATAAGGTGCTACACAGCTCTGAATAAGACAGACATTTCCATGGCACATACAGTACAAATATTCTGAAATGAAAACAAAAGTCAAGGTAGACACAGGTGAATTGGAAGGCTGATAGGGAAGCAAATGGCTAAATACCACATATCTGCCTATTTCTTAGTTGTATTGTCCATGGATATTTGTTTGTGTCTTGCTGCCTAGCTGCTCTCTTATGTTATACAGGGGTTTATGTTTGCTCTTTTTATTTTGTTTTGAATTAATAGCTGCCCATAGTCCTGCCTTTGAATGCATTGTCAAACACATTTTGTCAACGCTGCAAATACTGTATATTCTTGCTTTGACAAAATATGCAGAACTGTCGGGTATTTTTAGAGTTAATGCAGAGCAGAGGAGGGAGGAGGGAAAAGCCCGAGAAAGAGAGAGGAAGGGAACTTTTGCCCTTCACACTAATTGGAGAACGTGATATATGACAGCAAATTTAGGGAGGGAACATGCTGATAACTTAATTGCTCAGGGGAAGAGAATTTAAATCTTAGCATCCCTTCGTTATGCCATGCTGACATTTTGTAACATAATAAAAGACTTTTAGGAAAATCAATGCCTAGAAGTTCTTTGAAGTGTTTCTGCAGGCAATGCATATGCTCACTATTACACACTTATCTTTATTAATGCCCATTATCCTTTTATGAACGCATAACAGGATAGCAGCACCTAACCAATCTTGACTGATCCTAGGCAATATAATCGTGGTAAGTACTTTACCGAGGGATCACCTAGGAATACAATTGTCAACTAGAATGGGAAGTTAAGAAAAACAAATCCAAAATCAAGCACTGGTGAATCAGTTCTATGATGCTGTCCAGAAGAATGAATGTAAGAGGTTAGTTGGGCTCTATTCAAGAGTTTTGATCTTCATCCTGTGGTAAAGTAAATATTTCCATGGATTATGTCTCTGAATAAGATACAAATCTCTCTTTTTTCATCTATCCTCCTTTCAGCAGAAAACTATTAACTGTAATGAAATTTGCTGCCTGTCTCTATTTTGTCTGTTCCAAGTTGCTTCTGAATGGTGCTGTCCTAAACGGGCCTGTGATGTGCAAAGTAAAAATTGGCTAATTCCTCCTAGCTAATTTCTCCTTCCTTCCTCTTCAGTACATCAATAGTTGGTAGTGAGAATTACACCTGTCAATCATGGCATTGCTGCAGAAATGGGGCAATATCTCTGCAGGACTCTGATAGCTCTGGGTTCCTTCAAGAACCTTTCTTCCTACCCTCCACTTAATTGTAACTCAGCTTGGATAAGAAACAATTACCAAGGAGATGGCATCACAAGTTGTACTTTTATTTAGGATTACTCTCCCCTTTCTTTCCTTATATAGATTACAACCGCTGTCTTCAAGATTCCTTCATACCTTCTGTTCAGAAGGTAATGGGAAGAGTTGGTCTCATCCTTCTACTATTAAACTACTTCAGCCTCTTACTAATCCAATCAACACAACAGAATTTATCACGTGCAGTACTTCCAAGTGGGCAGCCTAATAGTATTGCACAATTCTAAGAGACCACCACATCAATTTTTCAGTCATCAGTTGTTGCTCTGGAGAATACAAAAGGCAACCCCGGGGGTCATTTTTACATGTGGTAAACATTGGTTCCTGGTGGCCTTTATTTACATGCAACTAGATTGAGATTGTCAATGAAATGTAAAGAGAACTGTTATACTAAAAACATGGGTCTGGTGTTCTTGAACAAATCTCAAGAACCACCACAATATTGCAGTGTCCAGTTCTTTAGGGAGACAAGAACAAAATGTTAAGTAAAGTTAAGATGCTGGGCTGTCAACAGGAAGTTTGGCAGTTTGAGACCCAAGTATCATGTAATAGGGTGTGCTCTTGTCACTTGCCCCAGATCCTGCCAACCTAGCAGTTTGAAAGCATGTAAATGCAAGTAGATAAATAGATACCACTTTGGTGAGAAGGTAATAGTCATGCTGGCCACATGACCACAGAAGCATCTTTGGACATCACTGGCTCCCTTGGCTAGAGATGAGCATCACCCCTGAAAGTCAAACACAACCAGACAGGGGAAGCCTTTACCTTTTTTAAGATTAAGAGGGATCCAGAGGAAGAGATAATGATTGCTCATTCTGAAACAACCAATAAGAACCTCTCTGATTCACTGTTATCTAACTTCTCATTTGATATAATATGTGGCAAAGTGGCAAAAGAGATCACATACATCTAGCAGTTGTCATTGCATATTGTTGATTTAAGAGGAGAGTTGTCATCAAGGGACAGCTAAGATTTAAGTCTATCTGGTTCTTTGACTAGGAGAAAAAAATAAAAGTAATGCCATGGGAACGTAGAAGAAGAAAGACGCTGCCAGGATATGTTTAGGCCACAATTAGGTATAAATGAGGGGAGATGCTCAGCATGGTTCTTTCCTAAGCCAAATCATCTAGTAATGCATCTGTCTTGAACAGTACCAGTTGGAATTTTAGTACCTAGATTGAAATGTATTTTGGGGGCAATCTCCTCTTATCCAGGGCTGAACAGATTAGAACCCAATCTTCATTCTTAATCACAACCCTCTTCTTTCATTTGATTGAACCAGGTTGTACATTATGTAAGGAACCTCAAATATAAAGCCAAATTTAAATACATGCCAAGTAGGAGCTTGTGCAATTATTAGGAAAGAACAACTAAGAACCTGCTCTTTTTATAGATAAAAGAAATTTCTGCCTAACTTGAAGGACCATTATGAAGAAATAATTCACCTTTCTCTTCCTTTCCTGTCTTCCATACACTTGTTTCCTGCTAACATAATACAATCACTGCACATTTTTCACAACCCCGATTTCAGGACACAACGTGCCATTGTTGTGATGTGGTTCATTTTCTGCAGCTGCTAGCATTCAGTACTCAAAGAAATCAATGTGATGCCCAGCATCTTGGCTTATTTTTTAAATTAATGGCTACAAAACAGTCTTTAAAATACAGATTAGTTTTATCATGCCAGAATTCAAAAGAGTCCTTCTAATAAGTTAATCTGGATCACTAAATATTAAGATTCGGCATTATAGCCTACAGCTCCCTGCCAAGTTTTAAAACCTAGTCAAGAATGATACAGGCCATTAAATCCAACCCAAAATATATGGGATTTAACACTCCTAGAGATTATTATTTTCAGAATCCCAGCAACCTACCTTCACAATCCCCAATTCTGAGCAGCTGTGGTACCTTTGCAGCCTGACTAGGACTCAGGAAGATGCACTGAATAATTATGAGGAAATGGGAGGCTCAGCCAGTCACATGGGCTTGCAAAGAAAACAGCCTATCACAGACTGGAATCTCCGCCTTAGAAATTAGCAAATGCCAGTTAAAATTATCTATGGTATGGCTAGAGTCATTCTCTTTAAGCTAACCTTTTTTCCTTTTGTGATAGTACAGTTTAAGATAGAAAAGTTCTTGAACTGTGTTTGTTGAATTTCTGAGATCTGGTGTCATCTGTAAAAACAAAGTTTGAATACAAATACATTAATTCAGATGATTCTAAAAGTTAAATTACAAATGAAACCAGAAGCTTTTATTTTGGGACAAATGGACAGGCAACTAGAAAACAGTCATGGAACTTTGTTCTTATATACATATAACTGCAGCAAGACTATAGTATAGGCTCAAAACTGGAAAGATGAGACACTATCCAGAATGGAGGAATGGCTGGTGAAGATAATGGAACTTGCAGAGATGGCTAAATAGATTTCCTTGATTAAAGATATGTTTATTGCTGATTGGAAACTGCTTATAGTCTTTTTGCATGAAATGGAAAAAGTGCATTTATGATTTGAGGATTAGAAAAAAACTGAATAAGAAAAAACTGAGCTTTTCTTAGCAATCATAGAGTGAGAATTTATTCGCTGCAGAGGAAAATAGAAGGTTCTATTTCTTTTTGCCCTCTCTTTTCTTTCCTTTCTCCTTTTATTCTTTATTACTGTATGTTATTTTTTATATTATCTTTTTGAAAAAAAATTAATATTTTTTAAAAGGTGTCACCATGGGGTGTTGTTTTGCAGCTTCACTTTTCACTCTTTCATGGGAATGGTAAATAGGAAAACTTTACACACGCAATCTAATACCTTTGCATTGCATTGGGTCATTTTTTTAAAAAAGGCAACTTTGCTTGTTTTAATAGTCTGGATAATATGACATGAATAATGTGTGGGAGGGGCACTTATTATTTATTACAACAGAGTGTCTCTTTTTTTTTGTAAAAGTAAATGAAGAAGAGCTTTAAAGCTTCTATTCTTCTTGGCAGTTTTGCAGACAAACCAACGCAAGCAAGAAGAGTCAGTTTTGTCTAGTGATTAAGGCACCAGGCTAAAAATCAGGGGATTGTGAGTTCTAGTCCTGCCTTAGGCATGAAAGCCAGCTGGGTGACTTTTGGTCAGTCCAACTCACCTCACCGGGTTTTTGTTATGGGAAAAATAGGAGGATGGAGTATTAGGTATGTTCGCCACCTTGAATTATTTACAAAAATAATAAAAGTGGGATAAAAATATAAAATAAAAAACATACCACAAAATCGTAAAGTTGATTTTTGCATTTTGTTACAATAAACTCCACTGGGTTCTGCTTGCCCTGGGGCAGGGACCTTCCTCTAGCTTTTTCTCAGGGACAGGGATGTATCACATTGAACTCAACCTGGCATCATCAACCTGCCTCTGCCGATTCTTTCATATTCTATGTTGGGAGTAAGGTTTTCTGACTTCTGGAAGCAGATATGGTGCTGTGTAGTCCACCTGTTGTATTTGAAGTCCTGGTAGACAAATACATATCTTCCCATTAGTTACGGGGCGCTGTGGCTAGAATGTCTCCTCCCTTGCTATCACTGGACTCTGCGTCCCCCATGACAATTTCATCCCGGATTACTTGCCTATTTCTAAATATCTGGTGAGGCCCTGTTTTGTTTTGTTTTTCCCAATGGCAGGTCTGTAAAATGGTGAATCTCTGATTTCTTTTTTTATGTTATTGATGGTCCAGTGAAAATCAAGTTTTTTTTTTCTTTTACACATTCACCAATGGACTGGTGAAAGGATAGGCTTTTTTTCCTTCTCTTTTAACAGGTGAAATTGTTAAGAGCTCTGCCAGTTTTCTCTTCTAGGCCCAAGAGACAGGAAGAAAGTTAACACTGTTGTTTTCTTCTACCTGTCTGCCACCAGAGGACAAATAATATGTCAAGTACAAAGCGGTGACCATGTGAAAGCTCTTTCAGTGGAAACCAGTGGAAACTTCAAAGACCCACACATAGAAATGAAACGCTGTTGGTGCTTGTTTCCCCAGTAGAGGTGAGATGGGCAAAGAAGCTAAGAAGTTGACTAACCAGAGACCATAATAATTGCAAGCTGGACAGAACACTTGGCCAGAATCACTTGCAAAGTTGAAAAGTGGATTACAATCTGAACAGCAATTTCTTAAACTTCATTTCCAATAACTTTCTGCAGAGGAAACAAGTAGCTTAAGGTTATTGTAGGGGAGATCCATAAATTTCAAATAAACAATCTAATAGACTAGTGGAGTAGATCCCGTGCTACATATATGGCTTGTGGGGATTGTTCAGTTTGATTGTAATGTAAAAGCCTAGAAAACTTTTAAGGGGATACAGCTCTGATTTAGATTTCTCTTTTCTTCTTAATGCCCAGGGTTAAAGTGATTTTAATCCTACTTGCTCTTCTTCTCCTAAAGATTTAGTTGTTGCTACTTCCATTACTTAACCTGGTTTTGTTTCTAGAACTACAGTACATTTTGAATTTGGTTCTTTTTAGAACAGTGGTTCTCAACCTTTTTAATGCCGCGACCCCCAACCGGTCATAAGTCGAGGACTACTCAACTGGTCGTAAGTCGAGGACTACTCAACTGGTGCAGCACCATTTGCAGAATGGCACTTTTGGCAGGCTCAGCAGGGCAGAGACAGCCTGGACAATTCCTACTGGCTTTTGAAAGCCAATAGAATTAGACTCTATTCAAGAGAGTCTATTCTATTGGCTTTCAAAAGCCAATAGAATAAAAGGGAGTAGCACAGCTAAGGAAAAGGGGGAAAAAATGGCGGACTGCGTTGTTTGGCGACCCCCGTGAAATGGTCGTTCGACCCCAAATGGGGTCCCGACCCACAGGTTGACAACCACTGTTTTAGAACATACAGGACATGAAATAATAAACATGTCATGTCCTGTATGTTCTAAAACAGTGGTTCTCAACCTGTGGGTCGGGACCCCATTTGGGGTTGAACGACCATTTCACGGGGGTCGCCAAGCAACGCAGTCCGCCATTTTTTCCCCCTTTTCCTTAGCTGTGCTACTCCCTTTTATTCTATTGGCTTTTGAAAGCCAATAGAATAGACTCTCTTGAATAGAGTCTAATTCTATTGGCTTTCAAAAGCCAATAGGAATTGTCCAGGCTGTCTCTGCCCTGCTGAGCCTGCCAAAAGTCCCATTCTGCAAACGGTGCTGCACCAGTTGAGTAGTCCTCGACTTACGACCGGTTGAGTAGTCCTCGACTTACGACTGGTTAGGGGTCGCGGCATTAAAAAGGTTGAGAACCACTGTTCTAATGAGAGAGTACCTGGATTCCTTCCTCAATTTATTGCAGCTTGATCCAACTAAAGACCAGAGACCAGTATTTCTGCTTCAAAATATTCATGTGACTTCAGAGGATGCATCCCATTGAAGCAGAAATGGCTTATTAATATCCACAAGTGAGAACTGTTGCTACCATACATTATAGCACCTAATAACCAGAGGAATCGCCTGAAATATATGATTGATGTGAATCTCTGAATTATTTTGGACAGATGGGATGGTGGTAGATTTTTTTTAAAGGTGTTTAGCTGAGATCATTACAGGTAATCCTTGAGACCAGCAATTCTGTTGCTAAGCAATGCAGAGAGATCACATGACCACAGTGGGCTTACAATTTCACTTCACCAGTGAGGTTTTAAGTGAATCACCCATGGTTGTTAAGTGAAACATCACGTGCCCATGAATTATGATTTTATTGTCAGCTTCTCGTTGACCGTGCCTGTCAAAAGCCATCTGCGAAGTGCCTAAATGGCAATCATTTGTGAGATGCTGTGACAGTTGTAAATGTCCTTGTTGTGAAGTGCCCGAAATCTCAATCATGTGACCGTAGGGACACTGCAATGGTTTTATGAAGGCTAATCATAAAATTATTTTTTTCAGTGCTGTTGTAACTTTGAATCATTGCTAAATAGTGCAATCATTAAGCAAGGAGGACCTGCAGTGTTGGAATTCAAATATGTGAACAACCAGTTCTCTGTGTGGATGCCACTTCCGGAAGTCCATTCTGGGCCTGGGCAACAAAAAATTAGTTACCGGTTCTGCCAAAGTGGTGCGCATTGGCTGAATCCCACCACTGAGGACCTGTAAAGTTAAACTCCAAGCAGGGTTGAGGGAAAATAGAGAAAATATGCCCCTTTATTTTCCTAAACAACTAATCCTCCAAAGTTGTTTGTCTTATGATTGAAACCATAATTATGTACCCCTCCAGATGTTGCTGAATTATCTTTTCATTTATCCATTGAAAGTCTGCCGAAGCTGCTGAACACTATTTAGCAATATTTTTTCTTCTTCTCTGTCCTTCTAAAGGAATAATGCTTAGTAATCCAATGGACATATTTTGACATGAGGCCTAAAAAGCATGGCAAATCTACCAACAGTCTTTTTTTGGCATTAAATAGCCATCCTCATGCTTAAGGGCCACGGTGCATACTCAGAGAGCCTTATAAATTGTTATTTCGATTTGGTTCAGCAATATTATTTTTTCTGGTAAATATTATTCTGGAAACTCTGCAGGTGCCACTTGCAAAAACCCATTTGCTGGTCCCACATCTATCTTGGGAGCCATATCTTTGGGCTCCGAGTCGTATCATTGTGGCTGCACCACCAGGTCTGTTGGTCATGCTTCAGCAGGGTGACTGTTTATTTAACCACATCCTGTTAGGCATTATCCCCACTTACATATTTTTAGTAGAGTTTCAATCAAATCCATTTGCTCTTTCCACTAAATTTATCCTCTGGTCCTCCTCAATGACTCTGAAATGACAGACTTGTGGCTTATTTTGGGCACTTTAGAGGACATCAAGCAAAGTGTTAATTCCTCTATTCAGTGATTGTTTTTCAGTAAGCCTTTATAATTTTCATCAACATGTCACCCAGTAATATCTACATGAAGGCAACTAGAAGCCAGTGAAAAACTCCAGAACT